ATTCCTGAGCTTATGCTTAACGGTGTGGGTTTTCTTTCAATCACTTGTTCTAGTTGCTAGAGCAACATTTTGATTATTATAAAGCCAGCTGCTAACCGGAAACCACAGTTGTCTCCCCTGTGCTTTTACACCCACTACTGGTTCCCAAGTAGGAAATAAGTAAAGAAATAGCCCATTCTTCTTTGGAGACAGGAGATATATGATCATTTTAAAGAAGAGGGCATTGCAGAAATGAGTTGTAGAGGCACAGGAATGAATGTGGGTAAGAACAGAGGACAGACCCATTGAGAGCGTGAATCTCTACTCTCCTGTGGAATGTGAATGCTTTTTTCTGCTATGAGTAGAAGTCTTGAACTCCTTTGCAAACTGTGGATGCTGTGCCTGAGAGCATAGGAAAGATCTACAGAAAGAATAGAAATCTATGATTAATAACAATTGTTCTATTTATTCAAGTAGTTGATAGTAAAAAAGTTCTAGATCTGCTAATGATCCAAGCTGAAGTTTTATATTCCGTACCGTAATGGAATCTCCATATTGCAGTTTACTAGAAGAACCCCTAAATCCTCAAGAAACTACACAAAAACAATTCTGTTTGAAAGGAAGGATGAAACATTAAGTGCTCAAAAGCAGAGACTTTCAAGAATGAAGGCTGAGTAAGCAGTGTTAATGAAGTCCTCCTATCCGTGTTTGTTTGTTATGATACGGACTTCAATTCTTCATGTTTATTGTGGTACAGACTTTGATTACCTGGTCACATACATTTTTCCTGTGACACATTCAATTAAAACAACATCTTGCCTTCAAAAACCAGGCTAGCTTTCTTTTGGTATAGCTTAATCTCTGTAACTGTTTAAAACCTACACAGATTTGTGCCGCCTTCATTGAAAGCATATATCCTGAAAGGGGGAAAGTGCTGCTTCATCTTCTTTGTACTGAGGAAACCATACTGAACATAGATGATATAAGCAGATTAAGTTGTGCAAATTCATACAGTCATTCTTGCTGTTGGGTGAAGAATATATCTTTTTTTCCAAAATCTCTCTCGTGATTAATTTCCATTATGTTCCACATAATGTCTTTAGATTTCTATTGTGATAAAGAGTTGCAGGAGCTCCCCCTTGTGCACGAAGTAATATTCGAAAAACACATGGATCGAGTTCATGACACTTACAGGCTGAAACGTCTCCTTTGTGTTTTTCTTGTAATGACTCCACATCGCTGGACTGGAAGCTTATTGGAAGTGATTTGTTTGAAGATATCTTGTATAGCAAAGCTCCAGTAGGATGTGCTGGAATACTCCTCTGAAAGTCACCTTTTCATCAATCTTCTTCCCTGGCAAATTTGATGTGATTAAATGCAGATTCCTTTTCTTTACTATGTTTTCAATACAGCTTAGGTGCTGTGCTGATTTTTATGCATTTAAATAATTGGAGTGATTGTGAAAACATGATTTGCGATTTTACCACCTCTAACTGCATTTATAAAATTATATTGAAAAGATCTTTGAGTTGACACAGAAGGAAACAATCTAAGTGTTAATTCTCAAAATATTGCAATTTTCAACATTGCCTGGCAAACGGATATTCACTTATTTCAATTTTCAAGCACTTAAATATAGCTCAGGGCATTTGGAAGTATACTGTTTGTAAAGATGACATTACAATTCTCTAGTTGCAGCCTTGAAGAGCCCACACAAGACAGCAGTAATAATCATATTCATTCACCATATTAGCTACTCTAGCAATAAACACAATAATTTTACTTCTGATTTCCCTATATTTCAATTTACTTTTCCCATATGACCAAGAAGAAAGCTTATCTTTTAGCATATTCAGTAGATTGTCAAATGTGGAATTTGACAGAGCATTAGCAGAATGCTAAGGGAAATGTTTCACATGCTCATGAATTTGTGAGCCTACAAGAAAAAATAAAAAGAGAGCAAGCAGAAAAGCAGGGCAGTGTTCTGGCAAGATTATAGATGCAATGACAAGGTGTTTGTTTGGAAGTGGTGACCTCTCCAACATTCACATAAATACTGTGTTATAACAGGACTGATTTTCTATGTGGATGGTTTATATAATGTCCAGTGATATGTGACATTATATATATAACTGTAACTGTCCAGTGATACCAGCATGGGCGAGGTCCTGTGCAGCCTGCTCCAAGTGACCCTGCTTCAGCAGGGGGGTTGGACTAGATGATCCTCAGAGATCCCTTCCAACCCCTGCCATTCTGTGATTCTGTGATGTGTGCATTAATTCCTGTCCTCTCTTGAGCTCTGTGCCAGAGTCAGTTCTCCTAGACGATGTTAGCATAGGGTTAAAAAAATAATTCGCTTTCTGTTTTTAAGTGGTTGCATAAAAGCACTATGTACAAATATTTCTAAATAATGTCTTCATGCAGTCCTAGCTGTACCAATTAGTTTTAGAGACTGCACTGATATTTTGGTACCAGTTTCACATGTATGAAAGTAATCTGCTTAGAGGTCTGTTCAAGTTCTTCATTTTGCTCTAAATGGAAGCCCTCAGGGTTCAATCATTATCACAGCCTGTAACAATTTGGCTAGTGCAGAGGCTGTGCATATAGTCCCTGGCAGTGAGTCACATGGTGACAGCATATGGCAGGAGAGATAACAAAGACAGGAGTGTGAGATGAGTAGGAGTCTGTGAAAAATACATTTTTCATACATTAGTAATGAACTTCATCATGAAAAATGTGAAGGTCTTTATGTGTCATCAGAGCTCTTTAAACAAAATTATTGGTATGTCTGCTGACTTACGTAAGTAAGCTTTGCATAAACTAAATTGTTACAGAACCACCAGGGAAAGTTTTGGTACATCACTGTCTCCAGTTCCAGCCATATGGAGGTGATGCACAGCTGCAGGCTTCCCTTTCAAATGTCAGTGTGAATAGCAGTGCCTCGAAGAAAAGCTTGCGTCACCCCATCTTCTGTTATCCACTTCAACTGCCTGATAATCTGTGAAACTTCTATGACCCATGATTTCATTTTGTACCCTCAATTCTGGAGACCCTAATGGCAGTGTCTATTGGAAACAGTTTCTTCTGCTGTACCTAGTCGTGTAATTGAGCTCCAATCTGACCAATACAGATCTAGAGTAGTCCCAATATGAAACCTGCGGATGCAATTAGTGATTCTCATTTGATCTATTACTGTCCAGGAATGAGTGGCATTGTGGAGAAAAAGAACAGAATCCTTGGTCCAGATTGTTGTGTATTTACCAGTATACGTGTCAAAATAACTTGATTTCTCTTCAGTGTGTACTTGATCCAGTTCAAGGATCCATGAATTTGGAAGGAAAAAATAAGGTCTCTTCTTTCTACAATGAGGAGTTTTTATTGTGGTGGCTTTACAGATAAATAAAGCTGTCTATAATGATAGTGAGATTGGTAAGAGATGGCAGCAAGACTTCTCTCAGTAGATGAATTAAAAGGGCAGAATTTTTCAACCTACAGATGCTAAAGGAATATTCTTATTTTA